CCAATTTGTCAGGGATTAGCAACCCAATAATCTTAAACACTGCACACATGCTAGTCAGTCTATCACCACACTGACTGTTTCATCTGAGCCTTTATTTTGGCATTTGTTAAGGTTTATGAATTAGTTGACACCCCCTAGATTGTTTTAAATTCACCATGTACACAAAAGGGGAGAATTGTAAAAGGATGAATATCTGAAGAATACATCATTATGATAACCAATGGAATTGTGTCCTAGTGATTGGTTTGTCTTTTAGAATTTGCCATTCTATTAGCAAATCTCTACATTTGTGTGAATTAGAAACATAATTAGGGTGATTCAAAAATAGAGTTTCTAGACCGACAAAGGGAGAAACCACAAGTATTGCCTTTGGTTCCACTATCTCCTGGGAATAGTTTCACAATCCACAGGATTGGTTTCCTTTTGGCCCATCCCATTTAAAATCACAAACCACAAAATATATTTCAGACTGGTAGAGTATTGGAAACTACCTAAAATGCATGTCTTCTAACTCAAAACAGCAGATCCACTTCATCTGCACCCACTATTTTGGTAAACTCAAGATTCAGGATTACACGGGGGTTAAAATACTAAACCAGAAATTGTAGGGAATTCACACAGTAAATAAAAAACTGACCAAGACTTCCTTGGGATTAAATGCACTTCTGCATGAATCGTGTTACGTTTCACTGCTCTGCCCCACTGTTATTTGGTGCAGTCTGCACTTTTGTAATACTTTATTACAATTACTTACAGCTCACACTGAATGTATGCCTTTTTATTCATACCCACTTTGTTCTCAGTTGTCCGATATCTCGATCCTCTCTCTATGCATGCAGAACCCAGATGTTGGCCAACCTGCACAGCTAAGTTAGCTGGTGCAAAACTCCACATGCACAAAATTTATTTTGTCTTTGTCAAAAAAAGCAATGTTTCAATGTTCACAACGATACATTCACTAACGGTTGTTACACCATGAAAAATAAGCCCACCTGAAGCAAATGTCACACTACATGCCAATGTATGGCTAAAAAAAAAAAATGTACCTGGGCTTTTTTGAAGAAGTTGGGCAAGTACTTCATGGCGTTGCTCCGGATGCAAGCAATGTTCTGGTACTGACCAGGATGGGAGAGCCTCAATGACCTTATTCTGTCCTGCACGTAATCAGACACCTTCACACGAATCTCCAGTCCAAGCATGAGAGTGTTTGGGAACAAGGGAGACAATTCAACTGCAGATAAATCAAAGCAAGAAAGATGTAACTTTAGAGTACACAGAATGAGACATTGAACAACCAGTATCAGTATGTGCAAAATACAGCTGGGCAATCGGATTAGAGGGATGAGTAAGATGTGTTTCTGAAAACTGAAACAAAAACCTACTTCATTTAAGTGAACTGGTAATGAACTCCGCATCGTGTAACACCTGCTTCTGATCCACTCAGCCTATTCATCAATTTGCCTGCCTGGGTGTACCTACTCATGCAGGGAAACACTGCTCTATGACACCAACATGCTGGCTTCGTTGCCAGCATCTGTATAGAGTGGCATCAATTCTGTGGTGGACCATGGGTAACCCGACCGGTTACCTCCGCTAATTCCTTCCCTCAGCCACTCTGGTACCGTTAAAATAAGCAGACATCCATTTTCCCCCCAGCGCCGGTCTCCATACAATTACACACAAACCCCTCCCCTGTGCCTGGGAGATAATTGAATCAGGAACTGTACAAATTATCTCCCAGGTACAAAAAAATAAATGTAAAAAAATAAAAATAAAAAAAACATACAATTTTAAAACACCCCTCAAATACATTTTAATATTTTAAAACCCCATGAAAGTTACATTACCGAATAGCTGGGACCTGGGGGAGGTGTCACTGCAAGGGTACATAATTCACTGTTGCACTATAGAATATTGCCATTTTATGTCATTTGTGTAGTGCATATATGAATTGGCTGCCTAGTAGAGGTGATATTGTCAATTTTAAAAGTTAGTTTGATTGTATGGGAGGTTAGAGCTTTTGAAGCTGGGACCCCAACAGAGCTATTCTGTAACGTGTGAGAAGTCACACATAAGCTGGCCTGGAAGTATAAATTAACCCTCTAATTTGCCATTTGTCTTGATTGCCTCTTCGATTAGGAGTCCTTTGATATGTACAAGCCTTGTGTTCCAATATCATACCCAAAAGAGACATTAATACCTACCCACAGATTAACACTCAAGCCTCATTTTTATCATATTTAGAAAGAGACAGGCACAATCTTCTAATCAAGCCTAAACATGATGTGTGGAACAAGGGGACCACACAGACAGGGAGATCCCCAGCATGATGACCTGAAAACAATAAGCACCTTACATTTTCATGGAACAACATTGTTTCATGATTGCTGACCCCCAACAAATTTTATTTTTTTCAGGCAGTTCCCCTGCAGGCAACACTATGGACACCTATTGCAGCCATGTGATCGCTCTTTCAGAGTGATCACATGGCCCTTGGGGTCCTATTTTGCCGAGTGGGGACTGTCTGGGCTAGAGAGAAGACCAATTGCCGGCGGGGGAACGGCGGCGATCGGGTAAGTGAATGGAAATGGAGGGAGAGAGGCAAGGGGTAAATATAATATAATATATATTATATATATATATAAAATACTACAATGTTAAACAAAAATCTGCACACCAGTCAAGCCATAAGACTTGCGTTTCCCACAGAAATCTGCAGTGCTGTTACTACCGTAAAGGATTCTGGGTGGGCATATGCAAATTAGTTTAACAAAGAATCACATTTGTGCCTCATTCCATTTTAAACATGGATTCCTTTGAGTCTGTGTTTGCTGTATACAACAGCTTTGACACAACTTGGGAAAAGATGCAAAGCCAATAAACCACTCATGGACATATACATCATACTAAGTGTAAAATTATATATATATATATATATATATATATATATATATATATATATATATATATATATATATATATATATATATATTTATTTATTTTTTTAAATTCGACGTGCATATTTATGTAATATTTTTACATATTTAAAGGACCACTATAGTGCCCTGAGGGTGCCCCCACCCTCAGGTTCCCCCTCCCGCCAGGCTCTGGGGGAAGGAAGGGGTTAAACTTACCTCTTTCTCCAGCGCCGGGCGGGGAGCTCTCCTCCCTCTTCTCCTCCTCTTCGGCTGAATGCGCATGCGTGGCAGGAGCCGCGCGTGCATTCAGCCAGTCCATAGGAAAGCATTCACAATGCTTTCCTATGGATGCTGGCGTCTGCTCACTGTGATTTTCACAGTGAGAAACGCGGAAGCCCTCTAGCGGCTGTCAGTGAGACAGCCACTAGAGGCTGGATTAACCCTAACAAACATAGCAGTTTCTCTCTGAAACTGCTATGCTTATAGAAAAAAGGGTTAACCCTAGATGGACCAGGCACCCAGACCACTTCATTAAGCCGAAGTGGTCTGGGTGCCTATAGTGGTCTTTTAAGTTATTTTAATGATTGCAATTTGGGGGACCTGCCTGACAACCCAGGCCAAAAGTCCAGAGAATGTAATTTGCTAGCACTATATTTAACCCTGTAACTTTCCAAGACCTCCTAAAAGCTGTACATAGGGGTACTGTTTTACTCGGTAGACTTCGCTGAACACAATATTAGCGTTTCAAAAAGTAAAACAAATGACATCGATGATATTGTCAGTCAAGGTGACGTTCTTGCATTTGTCACACACTAACTGATGATTATGATATCATTGTTGTAAAAGTTTTACTGTTTTGAAACACTAATATTTGTGTTCAGGGAAGTCTCCAGACTATAAAAGTACAGGTTTTATAGTGTTTTTGAGAGTTACAGGGTCAAATGTAAAGCTTGATTTTCTGTTTTTTCACATTGAAATTTCCAGATTGGTTACATTGCCTTTGAGACCATATGGTAGCCCAGGAATGAGAATTACCCCCATGATGGCATACCATTTGCAAAAGTAGACAACCCAAGGTATTGCAAATGGGGTATGTTCTGGCTTTTTTAGTAGCCACAAACACTGGCCAAAGTTAGCATTCATAATTGTTTTTTGCATTTTTAACATACAAACAAATATAAATGCTAACTTTGGCCAGTGTTTGTGACTAAGTGGCTACTAAAAAATACTGGACATACCCCGGGTTATCTACTTTAAAAAAATATATATGGTGTGATGTGAGTAAATTACATTGGCCAGTTTCAAAAAGGTCCCATATAGGACATGGGTGCATGATGACCAGCTGTGAAAATTCCAAGTTGGAAAACTGGAATGCGTACCCTCCAAATAAGGTATTTTAGCCTCCAGAGAACCCGACACACCTATACATGGGTGGTATCACTGCACTCGGGAGATGTTGCTGAACACATAAAAGAACGCATGAAAAAAAAAAAAAAAAAAAAATACCCCAAGTTTAATTATATATATATATATATATATATATATATATATATATATATATATATATATATATATATACATACACATACACACACACACACATACACACACACACACACACACACACGTCGTGAAGGGTTATTCAGGGATTCCTGACAGATATCAATGTTACAATGTAACTTGCGTTCATTTTGGGGGGAAAAATGGTTGGAAAGATTAAAGTGCTACTTGTACTTATTGCCATATGTAACGGCACCCCCAGGCATAAAGAGGGGTTAAAAGCCGTTTAGTAGATTTTCCAGAGACACAGCTACTGTAGACACCAATACACCGAACCGGGAAGCATATGAATGCTCTCAAACATACGAATGCTGTAGACAGCTGAATAGGAAAAAACATACGAATAGGTTTACACTCCTAGCAGTCAAACTGGAACAGCATACAATAAATCCCCCTAAGAACAAGACAAGGCTCCTTTTTGAGGGTCAAGCAGGAACAGACAGAACTTTGGGTTTATTATTCTTATATACACATTCTTACACATTAGTACCACCCACAGTGTTTTGGAAAACAACCAATAAACACGTACAATACACTCAGACACTCCCACACAAAATCCTCCCCTCTGCATGTGATACAATTACCTTACACAATGGGTAATGTAATTATCACAGGCAGAGAAATACAGTTTTTCCACATTATTCATAACTTTAAAAGTATGCATCACATTTACTTACATTTTTAAAATCAGCATACTCCAAATACAAACATATGTCAAAATCATCCAAATTGGTCCATTGGTTCAAAAGATAGATCGAAGTCCTTTGTGACCAAATGAAGCATAGCTTTTCTGCCCAAAACCAGTTCCACAGAGTCTTCTATCCTGGAGATAATTGAGAAGCAATCCAATTATCTCCAAGGACAGAGGCAAAACTCCATTAGCCACATGGTAGCAAAATACAATAAAATACACAAGGTTACATTTATTACATAAAATACAGACCTGCAACATATCCCCAGATAGCTTAGGTCTGAGCGCACATTATTACTGAATGGCGCTCAGATCACACACATACAGTTCAATTGCCATGGAGCCAAAGTCTTTTATTACACGAATAGGCTCCATGGCATAGCTATCTGGGTTACAATTTGGGTAGGTACAGTAAAATGAGTAAGAGGAAAATTACAGCTAAACACAAACACAGCAGAAATGTAAAAAGAGCCCTGGCCCCAAAAAGTAAGAAAATTGAAAAGCGGTCTGGTCACTAAGGGGCTAAAGCCCAGAGTAGATAAATTAAAACCATATCTGACTAAATGGAAAAACCCTGAATGCGAAATTCCCTTTCAATTCTCACTTTAGTGAATAACCCTCACACTGCCATAATCTAGACATCAGTGCAATAACAAAACAAAACAAAAAAAACAACACTTCGTAGTTTTAGAATATAGAGACCTCCTCATGCAACATGTGTGATAATGTAGTGGGTGAAAAAAAAAACAAAAACAAAAAAAACCACCACCACATACTAATATGCAAAAACATGGTACAAGCACTATACGAGTTAGCATTCTAAGCTGACTGAGGAGCAAATGTTGCTTTACATAAATAGTTTCCTTGAATAAACCAATTGTACCTAACAGACCACCATATCCACAGCCAATGTCTGCAAATTCCACCTGGTGTTTTTTCATCTTCTCTTCTGTCAAATCCTTTACATCATCATGGCGACAATCAGAGGACAAGGGCTTAAAGAATTCTGGGTAGTATTCAGACCAGTCCATTAGTTCAGGTTTCACTGGGCTATGTAAAAATGGAAGATGGGGTGAAAACTAGTAAATACAATAATCAGCAGCAATAAAGTTACAAACACCAAAACATGACTAGTTTGTCTCACAAGCTCGAATACCTCATTCTGGAGAGAACAAGGACTAATAGCATGATGTGAATACACACTGGGATAATCATACACGGATAATGCACTTTAGCCTACAGATAATGCACTTTGACAATAAAGCCGTTCTTTCCAAAAAGACTGACACTCTAAACTGTGTCAATTAAAGGACCACTATAGTGCCAGGAAAACATACTCAGGGACCCCCTCCCGCCCGGCTCTGGAAGGGGGAAAGGGGTTTAAACTTACCTTTTTCCAGCGCTGGGCGAAGAGCTCTCCTCCTCCTCCTCTCCGTTGGCTGAATGCGCACCCGCAGCAAGAGCTGTGCGCGCATTCAGCCGGTCACTTAGGAAAGCATTCATAATGCTTTCCTATGGACGCTACGCAAGCGCCTCTAGTGAGAAGCACGCAAGCGCCTCTAGTGGCTGTCAATGAGACAGCCACTAGAGGAAATAGGGGAAGGCTTAACCCATTCATAAACATAGCAGTTTCTCTGAAACTGCTATGTTTACGGAAAAAATGGGTTAACCCTAGCTGGACCTGGCACCCAGACCACTTCATTAAGCTGAAGTGGTCTGGGTGCCTAGAGTGATCCTTTAACCCTCTCCCTTCCTGAGAGAAACTCCACATTAAACCAGAGCTTCGACAAAGAAATAAGCAACTAACCGTACATCTATAACAGACAACATACAGATGTAAACACTTGGTTTGTTCAACCACTGAACAGCTCTGCATCATATGTCTGTACTTACAGGAACACTATAGCATTAGGAAAACAAATACGTATTTCTAAACGCTATAGACCCTAGTCACTGTTTGGATTTCAAATTCTTATGAGTCATTTTACACAGCGTGTGAAAATTCCAAATAACTATCCCGCGCTGTGTAAAATGACACAGAGCACTCTGATTGGTTGGATTTCAAGCCAGAGTGCTGTGACAGGTAAATGTAGAGACTTACGTGTCAGCCTCTTCATTTACCTGTCAGAGCGCACTGATTGCTTGGCTTAACCAATCAGAGCGCTCTGAGCCTAATTGCAAGGCATTGGAAGGCTTTATAAGCCTTTCCCCGCCCTGCCCTTCATGGGTGACGTTGGAATATTTTTTTTAGCGTGTTTTTTTTCTTGTTCGCCTGATTGTAGATTTTTTGGCGCTCGGTTTTTGAGGTTTTTATTTATTTATTTTTTTTTTTTTTTTTAACAAGTTCAGTTGGTATTATGGTTTTTTTATTTGGCATTTTGGGGGGCTTAGAATTTAAATTTTTAGAAAAAAAGAAGACATCAAATGCTAAGTTTTATTTATTTTACAGGTACTTATTCTTTTGTCCACCCCCTCACTATTTTTAGGGTGAGAGGGTGGGTAGGGGTTTATTAAAGGTACACTATAGTCACCTGAACAACTTTAGCTTAATGAAGCAGTTTTGGTGTGTAGAACATGCCCCTGCAGCCTCATTGCTCAATCCTCTGCCATTTAGGAGTTATATCCCTTTGTTTATGAACCCTAGTCACACCTCCCTGCATGTGACTTGCACAGCCTTCCATAAACACTTCCTGTAAAGAGAGCCCTACTTGGGCTTTCTTTATTGCAAGTTCTGTTTAATTAAGATTTTCTTATCCCCTGCTATGTTAATAGCTTGCTAGACCCTGCAAGAGCCTCCTGTATGTGATTGAAGTTCAATTTAGAGATTGAGATTCAATTATTTCAGGTAAATTACATCTGTTTGAAAGTGAAACCAGTTTTTTTTTTTTTCATGCAAGCTCTGTCAATCATAGCCAGGGGAGGTGTGGCTAGGGCTGCATAAAAAGAAACAAAGTGATTTAACTCCTAAATGACAGTGAATTGAGCAGTGAAATTGCAGGGGAATGATCTATACACTAAAACTGCTTTATTTAGCTAAAGTAATTTAGGTGACTATAGTGTTCCTTTAATGTTATAGTTTGACATGTCCGAATGGGTTACCGCAACCAAAGACACCCTCAGAGGGTGGGAGCTGAGGCCTGGAAAGTGGCTTGGCCAAGTACCTACCCTGTCTCCCATTCCCCGACCCCCTTGGTCAGGGGCACTACAAATCCCAGCTGTGAAAAGCATAGCATGTCACAACTCAACTAGTATTTACGCCTCGAGACACACTCTCAGATCACTTCTCTTTTAATTTAACTGTAAATGTTTATTTTAAAATTTTAGTTTACAAACAAGCCGGTTATCTAGCTATTTCATACTCTACAGTGCTAGCTAATCTAGCACTTTTGTAATTACATAGTGATTCTCACCCAGTCTCTACTCTGCCTTAACTCTGATAGCTAGATATACACGTCTTGCCTTGTTTTTACACCAGCACTCACGAATACTCAGTTTAATTGCAACGCCTAGCTTGCGTACTGAAACATGCCCTTGATTTCCTTATCATATGCACACAGCCTATTAACTTTACACCAAACTATTATTCTCAACTTGCTCTGTGACATTATCTTGCTCGGTTAACAAAAAAAAAAAAAAAAAAAAGCTGTATATTGTATACACACATTCTGCGTTAACATGGCATATCCAACTCAACTTTTCTCATGTATGCGGTCTTAACTTTGTTTCCAAACACAAAAATAAAGAATAAAATGTAATTTATAACAAGAACAAAGTATCTTATCTACACATGCTGTTTTCGAAAAACATTTACTATAGTTTAAAGACACATTGCTGAGAGTATTACAGCTGTGGAACTGATATACACTCAGACACACCAACAGTATGGAGCTCCTAGGATGAAACAGAGGGATTTGGGCACAACATTGGGACTGTCCCTCCTAAATAAGGACAGTTGGGGGGTATTTATTGCTGAGGAGTAAAAATAAGTGCTTTTTTTCATACACCCAGGATCTTATTTCCAACATAACACAGCATGGTGCAAATAGAAACTCACTATTGGAAGGTGTGATCTGCCATGGGGTTGGAGTGGGCTCTCTGTCTGTAATAACGCTTCTTAGGGTGTGATACGGCCATTGCAGGCTCTTTTATCGGACTAGTTCGCTCCACTTGGGTCTCTGACATTTTACTAGCACCAAGCTCAGCTTCCAACAACGTGCTGTCGCAGCCGTCGCACAAAAAGTGAATCACGGAAGCCACGTGACAGAGTGAAGCCAGCGCCGCTGCCAGGCCTCTATAGAGTGCTACTACGGCGGCCATCTTTACTTCTGGAATGAGAATGTGTTTCAGACAACCACATGAGTTGTTAACTTGCTGTACTGTTCACCACAACCAAAGCAGGACTGTGTAGACCTGGCAGGGAATGTGTTATTTGTAGACACAGCAGACAAATGTGAAATAATAATCTCGGTTTCAGCCATTTCTCCAGCTATATTGTTCTAAATGTGTTTTTCTCGTTTCATTAGCCACGAGTAGGCACTCCAGGATGCAAAGGATTTTATTATTTTTAATATATGGGCAGTGGTGGGACTACAGGGGTTGGGGATGTGACCGGGCACCCTGTGCTCTGCCTGTCATGGGGGGATCAAAGGTAGGGAGACTGGGTGGAAATAAATAAATTGTGAGTGAATGTGTGTGTGTGTGTGTGTCTGTCTGTGAATGTGTTTGTCAGGGTGTGTCAAATTAGTGAGAGTGAGTGTCTGTCAATTACGCGTGCTTGTTGTGTGTATGCCAAATCAGTGAGGGTTTGTGTGTGTGTCACATTAGTGTCTGTCAGTGAATGTGTGTGTATGTCTGTAAGAGTGTGCCAAATTAGTGAGGGTTTGTGTGTGTGTCACATTAGTGTCTGTCAGTGAATGTGTGTGTATGTCTGTAACAGTGTGCCAAATCAGTGAGGGTTTGTGTGTGTATCAGATTAATGTCTCTCAGTGAGTATGAGTGTATTAGTAAATGTGTATGTGTCTGTCAGAGTGTGTTGAATAAGTGATGGTGTATGTCAGTATATCTGAGAGTGTGTGTGTGCGAGTGAGTGTTTCAGTGTGTGTCTGTCAGTGCAAGTGTGTGTTGATTAAACAGTGTGTGTGCCAATGACTGGGTGTCACTCAATTAATTTGATCTGTAGTAATATGCATATATGTGTGTATGTATGTGTATACATACAGTAAGTACAAGGTGGGCCAAAATTCAGAGTAGGATTTGAGAAGTCAATAACTTTTTTATTAACCCCTTAGTGACCAGACCGCTTTTCAATTTTCTTACTGTTAACGACCAGGGCTGTTCTGCGGTGTTTGTGTTTAGCTGTAATTTTCCTCTTACTCATTTACTGTACCCTCACATATTATATACCGTTTTTCTAACCATTAAATGGTCTTTCTAAAGATACCATTATTTTCATAATATCATATAATCTACTATAAAAAAATTATAAAATATGATGAAAATATTTAAAAAAAAACACACCTTTTCTAATTTTGACCCCCAAAATCTGTTACGCATCTACAACTGCCAAAAAACACCCGTGCTAAATAGTTTCAAAATTTTGTCCTGAGTTTAGAAATACCCAATGTTGACATGTACCTAGCTTTTTTGGGGGAAAGTTTTAGGGCTCTAAGTACAAGTAGCATTTTGCTATTTCCAAACCATTTTTTTTTCTCAAAAATAACTCTTCACATGTATATATTTTTTAAAAGAAGACAACCTAAGGAATTAAACTGGGTTATTTTGACTCTTTTTTCATGCAACCATTTTGCCACCAATCTATGCCAAATACACATAGCAATTTAAGAATACATGTACTGAGAACTTTAAGGGTTACTGCCAAAGAACACCCCAATAGGTGTTTAGCAACATTTCTCTACTACAGTGATACCGCCCATGTATAGGTGTGTTGGGTTCTCTGAGGGCTAAAAGACCTTATTTGGAGGGTGCACATACCAATTTTCCAACTTGGAATTTTCACAGCTGGTCATCACGCACTCATGTCCTATTTGGGACATTTTTGAAGCCGTCCAATGTAATTTACCCCCATCAAACCAAATATTTTTGAAAAGTAGACAACCCAGGGTACTCAATATGGGGTATGTCCAGTCTTTTTTAGTAGCCACTTAGACACAAACACTGGCCAAAGTTAGCATTTCTATTTGTTTGTATGTTAAAAATGCAAAAAACAATTATGAATGCTAACTTTGGCCAGTGTTTGTGTCTAAGTGGCTACTAAAAAAGACTGGACATACCCCATATTGAGTACCCTGGGTTGTCTATTTTTCAAAAATATATATTTGCAATACTTTGGGTTATCTTCTTTTGCAAATGGTATGCCATCATGGTGGTAATTCTCATTCCTGGGCTACCATACGCTCTCAAAAGCAACATAACCAATCTGGCAAATTTCAGTGTGAAAAAAGCCCCCCCCCCCCCGTGTACAGGTTTTAAATTCTCTGGACTTGCGGCCTGGGTTGTCAGGCAGGTCCCCCAAATTGCAATCAATAAAATAACTTAATTATGTAAAAATATTACATAAATATGCAAGTAGAATTTAAATATATATATACATATTTATATATTAGAAGTTTACATATATATGAAATTATTTATGTAATTATGTATATGGTCATATGTATATTTTGTATTATTTTTATTTATGTATATATAGATATAGATATATATAATTTAATTCTAAGTGTATATAAATATATATATATATATATTAATATCAAAATACAGTTAGAATAAAATTACCTATATATATATATATATATATATATATATATATATATATATATATATATTTTTTTTTAATCAATTTTTTCATAATGTGTATATACATATATATATATATATATATATACAATATGTATTTTTATATTAATATGTGTATATATTAAAAAAATACACTTACTATGACATATATAAGATATATACATATTATATATAGATATAATATATGTACATATATATATATATATATATATATTTTATTTTTTTAATGAACATTAATATTTTTATTTTAAAAAGATTTTTTACTTTTTTTCACCAGCAGGGGGACTGCCTATTGCAGCCATGTGACTGCTCTAAAATTTGCAGAGGGGGTACTGTCTGGGCTGTTAGACAGTCCCCCCCAAAGAAGAACCCCGATCGCCGACGGGGGAACGGCAGCGATCGGGTAAGTACATATGGAGGGAGAAGGAGGGAAGGGGTATATATAAAAAAAAAAAAAAAAAAACAGTTATTTTTAATTTTTTTAAAATTGTACTTATTTAATTTATTCTTCACTGAGTGCCTTGACCCCTCGAGGCACTCAGCACAGGCAGAGCATTGGAAGCCTGCCTGATGGCTTCCAATGCTCTACCTCACGTGGGGCAACCCGGAAGTGATCGCTCCAGGGAAGCGATCACCCGGCGGCCCGGCAGTGAGGGGAGGGTATTGCATGATGCCTCGACATCGAGGCATCTCTGCAATACTGTTGGAGTGGCTGGAAGCAACCATGATCGCTTCCACGCTCTAATTAGCCATGGACATATCAGGTACGTCCGCGGTCTTTAAGGACCGTTTTTTTGTCGGACGTACCTGATACATCCGAGGTCACTAAGGGGTTAATGAACCAATTTTAATAATATTACATACAATGAACGCTTAACGTAAGGAAATTTGTTTGACTAGGTACAGAAAATCCTTTTTTAAAATGATCTCCATTTTCCGGCTTGCAAAGTCGGGCTCTTTCGATTGCATTGTTCATAACATTAGTTAATGTATGAGGCTCTAAGTCTAGTGCTCAAACTTCTGCATGGATATTCTCTTCGAGCTGTTCAAGTGTACAGGTAGTCCCTTATTTTACGATTTACCTGTTTAATGACGACTCAGACTTACGACCAGCTCTCTAGCGCGGGTATTCAAGGAATTCCCCACGTTATAGAGAGCTGGTCTATGTTTGGGGAATTTCCCCCAAACATAGATTAATGAGATTCCCTGCTCTGGTGCGTTTGTCTATGTTCGGGGAAATTTCCCCGAACATAGACCCGCACTGGTGCGCATGCTCTGTAGCGCATCCTCACTTACCAACCAATTTGTTTTACAGCCAAGTCGTAAAACACCCTCTCCTTCAGAGATCCCCACAGGAAGTAATCGAGAGCTGAAAGATTAGGGGAATGTGGCAGTTTATTAATCTGGCAATTTCTTGAAATTATGCACTCACCATATAGTTGTCTCAGTTTTGAAAATAAAATTCCACTATTTTTGCTTATTGTTGAACTACTACAAGTCAGTTATTTACCTGTCAAACCCTACTCTGAATTTTGTTCCACTCTGTGTGTATATATACAGTACATGTGCATGTATTATCAATAAATGTGTAATATATTAAAGTCTATATACAATAAGTGTATAATTAATAAATGCCAGCAAATGTATAGATTTTAATTTAAAGCTCTTTAAAAATATAGTACCTCCCCTACCACACAATTAAATGCTCAACATTTGACATGTGTGCCAGTGAAATACAGGATCTAATCCAATAGACAGAGTGACAGGCAGTCCTCTTGATCCAAGTCACTGTAATATTTCCCCAGCAGGCGCTTGGGATATGGGAGGCATCCCAGTGTGCTGGCAGTGAATCCAGCATGTTAGCATTAGCACTGAGGATTGCCATGCTCTTAGGGAATTGACCTTAATCTGGGCCAATCACTCCACACTCACAAACAGCCTAACACCATATACAATCACACTTGGTCAGCTACACACAATCGCATTCCACTATCTCTACACATACATATCACACCCAGCCAATCAACATAATCAGACTCAACCAAGCCCCACACAGAATCATGCTTGGCAAACCTCCGCACAGTTACACTCCACCACACCAGTGTCAAACCAACCGCTGTCGCAAGGGTAACTTTGAGCGCTGCTCATAGGACTAGTGTCAGTTTAGAGCCACTAATTGACAGTTAGTGGGCGCAATTGACAGCGGCGACCTCTCTATTTTACATTTAGTAGGCTCGGAGCAGTGTTAGAAATACTGCGGCTGAACAGGATCGCTCAGACGTGGTATTAAAGAGCTATGTGCAGTGCTCACTTTGAGTGCTGCACATAGCTCAGTTGTCAGTCTGGGGCCACTAACTGTGACCCCAGTTCACAGAGGGGACCCCCAGGTAGCCTTTGATGCATGATGGTCTATGCCGTCGCTGAGTGTTAAAACCCTGCACTGCATGACAGTACAGACCACCACGTGGTCCTTAAATGGTTAAAGACAGATTACAGTGAGT